GGTGGGGGCTTGAGGGATAGGGAAATAGGGAGATGGATGGTCGGCAAATGGGTTATGTGTGAGGAGGAGGAGGGTGATAATTTGTTTCTATCCGTAGTCCAACCAAGGAGCACGAGATAATTATTTCACGGGCCAGGCAAAGAAGAGGTTGACGACAAGAGCTCGAGGTACCAACTCCTCATCCACGGACACAATTATTAGCCAGACGTCCGAATCACACTCCTTTAGTTACTCTATATGAGATGTCCAAACTTGCACAAAGGAGCCCCTCAGACTAAACGAAAATGGATTCCACTTGAGCAGCCTATCATTTACGTGCCCATTAGGATCACTTTTAAAGATGATGGTTTTATTTGACTCAAAATTTACTCTTTGTATGCAAATGTATATGATAGTCTTTTAAACATGAAGAAAAACAAAAGTAATCCGCCATCACTTTTACCAAATTTGCGTAATATTTTCCAAATTGTAAGTATGATAATGGTATGTATTGGACGTCACTTTTAACCCTAAGCAGTTTTTCAAGGAGGGGTCATTTTAACAGGGATCCAATTTGCTGGCACAACTTCTAATCATCGTATTCGAGACTACTTTTGTTCTGATATTCTGTCACTTTCAATGTTTGTGTGATGTTGAGTGGTCTTACTCTTACATAGGATGATGTCCAACTTTGAGCAAACTAGATCATTGACATTTAAACAAAATTTAAGGTACCCTCTCACCCCACCCTTTTCAATGTAACACAGTCGTACCTGTTTACCGGCCACACCAAACGGACACGAGTTAAAGCTAAGATATCATCTTCACCTTTTTAAAAAATTGTAACAGGTTAGCTTTTAGCTACATCAGAATTACAGTGTTTTAATTGACATTTTTGGCCGTTTTGGGATACTAAGACCATGAGATCAGAAACCAGATGTTCTATCTGCTTGATCAAAATCGAAAGATTAATTGGAGTCTGAATCAAGATATTCAATTAATTGCATCCGAAAAAGCTCGACATGTTGTGAAACTCGATATTTTTTTACGTACAATTTCTCAAAACTGGGTACTGAGTAGATAGCGCTTTGTACTTCTAAGGTAGAAATTTGGAAATCCCAATGAACAACACAATAAAGAAAAAATATATAATTTATAGTTTTTAGGGGTGCATCAGAGGTCTGACTCGTTCACACAAATTTAGCATTTTGAAATCCTTATATGCAACACGTTAACCTCTTCACTGCTGTATAGACGTACTGGTTTTCATTCTCCAAAAACTGGTTCTCTTCCCATAATTTGTTTACCAGTTTACGGGGAAGTATAAGGACATGTACATGTGATCATAACTGTGAAGTTCAGTTTTATTTAACTAATGGGAAATATAGTAAGGCATTGTCTCTCTTGAATGAACATTTTTTATCTTGTCTGTGTTAATGTTGGTGGATACGTCTCAGCAACGAAGGGGTTAAACTAAAAAAAAAAATAACACCATCATTGTGCTGTCTCCGGCCCGCTTAGAGTGCTGTAGATGAGTGTCCTAATGCGGAAGGTACGCCGGCGCCGTCAAATTGCGAAGTTCATAGGCAACACTGATGAGGTTGTCATTCTGGTGTTCGTAAATAGCGATGTCTGGTATCGTGGGGAGGACCACTTCGGTCTGTGAGAGATCATGTGAAAAGATTTACAGGGTAAAGTTTTAGGATTTGACGTCCAACCGTTCGTGTTCATTCCCTCTTTAAAAACCGACAAAAGCACAATGATTGGCGCAAATTAAAGTAAGAAAGAGCGACAGAGGGAGGGAGATAGATATCTTGAAGAGAGAGGGGGAGAGAGAGGGTGAGGGAGAGGGAGAGAGCGAGCGAGCCAGCGAGCGAGCGAGAAAGAGAGAGAGCGAGAGAAAGAGAGAGAGAGAGAGTCAGCAGCA